CTGTCGTATCTTTCTTTAAGAAAAATTAACGTTTATATTGTTTAATAAACATTTTTAAATGTACAAGTATAATTAAAACATTTTATTAATCCTCATTTATATGATGACATTATGTTGTATTATTGTAATTAAAACATGGATACATTTGTGAGTGAATTTTTATTTATAGGGCTTCCTCAAAAACGAGGTTTGCAAATACCCTATAAATTATATAGAAACTATAAAAAATGTAATTGAAAATACAGAGTGATTGGTTAACTATTAACGGAGATCACGCGTCAACGCTACAATTAAGTCCTGTAGATGGTGGCTGAAATAGATGCCACTAAACTATAAAAAATATGTTAGCGTTTGTATTTTTAACTTTCGTTTATTTTTAACAACCAATTTTAATGTTATAACTAATAATGTATAATAAAAGTTAGGATGGAAAGGGAAGTGCAGCTGGGAAGTGCGCGCACATAAAAATAATATTATTTACTCCTGCCCTAAACTTGAAACTTTGATCAGAAAATAACAGAAAATGATTCAAATTGAATTTGTAATTTAAAAATTTAGTTTTTTATTTATTTTAATAATATAAGATTTAATGTTGCCTAAAATTTGAGAATTTTTATCTAATATTTCTTTTAGAAAGCTGAGATAATTTTGCATAAAATGTGTACATTTCAAATTGGGTTTCCCATAAAAACAAACAAAATAGCTGAAATTTCATAGTTCAAATTACCACAGTAATATATAATAATTAAAATAATTGTGTGTAAAAATAAGATTTTCTGTTTTGTTAACGTTTTTTAATATGATATCACAAAAGCTGTTCTTCTATTTATTCATTAAGTATTTTGCTATATTTGCAACACTTGTAGCACTCTTGTTAGTAATACCCACTATTATTTAAATTAATACATAATGCACTAGCTGGTGAAGAACTTGATCACATTTAAAAATAAACAAATGTCACAGGATAGTTTTCAATTTTCTTTTGTTAGTAAGCAATATATTAGGTAAACATGTTATGTAATCGCCGAATTTTGTTCAATTTAATATTTTTACTTGTGTTATGTTAAAATTTTTAGGTCTCAAAGTTCTGAGTATACGATGTCATATTTTTTATGATTTTATTTATCATCTACATTTGGTTAGGTTAGGTTAACTTAGGTAGTTATATATTAGATGCAGTTTCTGGTAACACAGTTCCCGTCTTTTTTTAATAATTGTTTTTAGGAGTTGTTTATACTTTTAGATAAGCTTTATTTTTTTATGTATTTAATGTAATTGTGATCATAATATTATATTTATAATTATCATTCTTAAAATAATTTTTTTAATACAATTAAAATAGTAATCATCCATACTTAACTGTAACTATTATAGTCGTAGTATGTTTACCGTTTGAGTTAATTAATTATATACGCGTTTTAATAAGCGCGTATTGGACTGCATCTCCGACCAAATACTGACCGCTTTTTTTTGCATTTAAATTAACAATGACTTGAATATGTACTATTTAACACACAGTTTTTTTATAGCAAAATTAGAATTTTTTTTTAACATGTTATCGATAACATAAAATTGATTTAAAACTTAGCTTGGACAATGCAATACCCCACAAACAATATTACCATTTTATAACCACTATGTAGTAACCAGAATTCATACCTAGTTTCGAAAAAGTATTTTGCAAGTTAAGTACTGAGTAACTGTAGTGTAAGTCTAGCTATATGTCAGATCAGAAACCTCCTACCAAAAAAGTGACTTTCTACTTGCTTTAAGATTAAAGTACAATTTTTTATTTTATTTTAATGAAATTTTAAAAATCAAGTGTCTTGTGTTGCCTACTTTATGAGCTTAGTAAGCAACATTTCAAAACAGAAAGATATGGCCCGAGGTCAGTCGGCTCAATGCCTCTTATGGTGATCTTAAGCTTGTAATTAACTAAGTAAAATTCACACTTAAAAAAATTGCGTGTTACGAGTATGCGCGGTGAAGTGAAACTTCTTGCAGAGTCAATCAACCAATAGAATATTAGATTTTTATTGGAATAAAATAAAAAAATACAACTAAAAATGTTATTTCAACAGAATTAAATTAAATTAATTATTATTATTATACCTAGGTTTTAATAACTAGTTTTTTTTGGCTGATCAAAACAATTTTCACTTACATCACATCAATCTAAATTAGCAAAATTAAAAATTGTAAAATCACATTAAAAATAACCGTATAATTTATATTTTATAACCGTATTTTAAATAATCAAATAACCGTATAGTTTATTATTACTTTTTTTATTACATTTTATAGTGAATTTTTGTTCGTGTATTTTAAATTTAAATATTGTGTTTGTATTTGAATTATTGTCACGACAAAATCGATTGGACTGCAACCCTTTATCATTGATTTTATATTATATTCTAAAATCAATTTTATTTTTTTTTGTGTAATATTTACCTATCATCTACGACAAGAGTTGACTCGGAAAAAAAACCAATAATAATGACAACCGAAATGGGAGCTATAAGACCTTGAGTTTTTTTTTTTATTATCCAATTAACCCCGTGGTCATGTGGTACTGGTCATATTATACGATGGTGATTATTGTTTTTGACTAGTCTAGGCCGACTTAAACAAGGTTATGGTCTGGAGGGTTGTGTTTACAACGAATGGAGCTGCAAGTAACAGTATTTATTACCGGTCTAACGAAATTTAACTAAAGATATTTTCGACAAATTGCTGCCTATACCTAACTTCTTATGCAACTGTTGGTATTTAAAGGTCCTCACAATCGAAAACATCCATGTCCCTTCTAGTTTTACTCAAAATACACACTGTTCCTTTTTCCATCCCCGCAAGTCTTCCTTCAATTCGGAGGACGTGATACCCTATTCATTAAAGAAGTGCTCTTCCCTATGAATTTTAGCTAAAACCATTATATTACACTGCTTAATATAGCCACGACGATTCTTTATTGGTAATTAATTATTTTACCAAACCATCTCGGCAACATTTTTAATCATTATTCCAACCTAAACCAGGTCTATCATGGTTTTAGAGCAAAAACAATGACATTTTAGAGCCAATGACCTTATCCATTATTTAATGTATTCATTAAATTAATTTCATTATTCGATCGACATACGTATTTAATGTTGATAATAGGCATTTTTAGCTTGGATGCTTAGCTGAGAAGGTATTGTTTTTACAATGATGTATTTTCATTTTTTTTTTTTGTGTCTACCCACGATATCTTCTAAGCCACTGAACCGATTTCTTCGTTCCAAATTTATAGAAAATATTCTTTAAACATAGTACAACCGATAAATATTTAAACAAAAAAAAAAAATACCTATAAAACCTTTCCCCTCGAAGAGATAGACATATTTTCTTTATTTCACTTTTTCAAGCAAAGTTATTGGGATTTAGGTCTGAAAATTAGACTGAATGTAGATCTAGAATGGAATTATAACATACACAATTTTTTTTTATTAAGGAAAACCCTCAAAAAAGGGGAAAATTACACTTTGACTGTAGTCAATTTCCAGGTTGCTATGTGTGAGTGAATCAACAGTGAACAAGTAAAGCAAATATTTTCATTTTATTGTTAATTACTATAAATGGGTAACTATGGCAATACATTTTTATAGATAGACGATCAACCATAATCGTGTCCACCTTAATACAAAATGTTTAAACAATAATTATTGTCATTAGTTACAATGCTTTTATCTCGATAATTATATTTTTATCTGTGAACACTGTATCTCTTTAATTACTGACTTACTACTACTACTACTACTCACTTACGTATAATATTTACTGGTTTATACTGTGCTTGGTTTGGACTGGCTGGTTTGAACCTACTGTCCACAGATTCGCATAGAAGCGTTAATTTAAAAGTGATTTTAATACTCAGTTAGAATAGTTCCTGTAAACCTTTAACCCCTGCCCGTCCCCACTATGCCCCTACCTCACAGTACTGGCTTTTTACAGTAGTAACTTTTTCTAGGATATATTTTAAAGAAACAAAACATAATATATCAATGTTTCCAAAATGTTCTCTTCCGTTATCATTTGGAAGTGAATTTGCTCTAAGACCATCATATTGTGGTCCCAAGAAAAACGCATACCGAGCACGGAGAAGTAAGAAGTAAATACTTCTATAAAGTTGTGTGTATTTTGAGTTGTAGATTTAATACTTACAAACTTTAGTCGCTGGCATGTTTTCGCAGCAGCTTTGATCGTAGCAACGTTTTACAAGGGACCATTATGTAAAGGGCGCCACCGGTGCGAACAGACCCACCGGCGTTGTGAGCGCTTACACTATTTACAGTGTAATCACCCAACGGACGAGGTTTCGAAATGCTGAGCGTCGTCGAGCGTCCGCCGGGCCTGTTGCTTTTCCGACGGTTGCTCGGAACATCGCGTATCGGATGCCGGGGTGTTGGGGGGAAACAAAAAAAAAACCAGCCGACATCAACAACAACAACATCAACTACTACTACAGCGGCGCGGCGGCACGAAATGTGCGCTCGTGTGTGGGCCGGGACGGCCGGGCGAGGGTCGGGCGAACTGGTTGGCAACCGCGGACGACGGTGGACGGGGCGACGGGAACGGCGGGCGCGATATTATTATTATTATTATTATTACACATGTATATAATACGCGACGGCCGCAGCCGCCGCCGCCGCCGCTGCTCTTGTTGCCGTTGTGTACGACGCGTTTAGTGTCCAAGGGCAAGCGTCTCGTCTGATGCTCGGCCGCGCGGCTGCCCGGTGCGCGCACGCACGCACGCACCACAACGGCAGCGACGGCGGCGGCACGCACGCACCGCACAACATGGCGGCCGACCGACCGAAACGCCGCCGCCGACACCTCCCCACCCCGCGCATCGCCGCCAACCCGGTTGCGGGCAGCTGCCGCCGAACCGAACGCTACGTGACGCCGCGACGCGGCAGCCCTTCGTCTCGGCCGGCCCGGCCTCCGGACACCAGTTGTCATCCATGCCGTCGCCAGCGAGCACGCCGAGCGCGCACCGTCCACGAGCAGGCCGACGACAACAGCAGCATCAGCAGCGCGTGACGACCACACCGCCGGACACCACAACCAGCGGTACAGCCGACAACACGGCCACAGCCGCCAACACCTCAGCAGCCAACGCAGCCGCATTGGCCGCAGCCATGGCCATCGCCAACGAAACCAACATCGATCTGATCATGATCAACAAGATCCGCCAGCATCAGGAGTTGTACGACACGGACGAGAACCAGTACAAGTACATCGACAAGAGGGACAAAGCGTGGAAGGAAGTGGCCGACGAACTCGGCATGCCGGGTAAGAACAACGGTACCATATTATAGACTTAGCCGCGCGCCGCTAATTACTTGTAAATTGTATTTATCGAACAATAGATACCGCGCTAAAGACGATCGCATACCTAATATAATATTTTCGAGCGCCGGAAATTCATTTCAAATTATTTTTCAAACGCCGGTATCGTCACTTTGTCGGCCATAGGTAACGTACACGTTGTACGGACGTTTAAAAACATTGTTGCCGGGGTCGGTACACGTGACGGCGGGTGAGGGAGTGGAGGAACACATGTTGCAGGGGTTGTTTTGCTATAGACCGTGTGCCGTGGTCGTGCCCCCTCCACACCACTCTGGCCGCCGCCGCCGCCGGCACCGTCGACGCAAGCATATAATATGTACTGTATAGTAACGGTGACGGCGCGGCAAAACGCGGACGGGATTTTTCGTGCGCGCTCCTTTGTTCGGATCGCGCGCCGTGACGGTGTAGGCGCCGCGAGGTTGGGAGTAGACTGCGGCGGCAACGAAGGGGAAAAAAAATACCACGAACGAAACCGGATGGGCCGACCGGCGGTTTGATGACCGACGCCGCGCCGCCACCGCGGCCGAGACGCACGTATTTAACGCCCGCACGACGACGACGGGGCCGTCGGGTGCGCGGTTCGTCCGCACCAGTGTCGCCAATCTCACCGCTTGACCGTGCCATTATTGTCACCGGGTGCCGCCTGCGCCCAAAAAAAGAGGGGCCCCCTGGGGGGGGGGGGGCGAGACGGGTTTACAGCTTTTTCAAAACCAAAATAACATCATACCTGAATTTGAAAAAAGCGTAAGACATACATATGCAACAATCGTTTAACCCGGCTTAAGTATTCCATTGGAGAACCGGCATCAAGTCCCGCATATCCGTTTGCCTCTGTCAGCGGCGGGGGCGCTAGGCTTGGCCAAGTGCCCCACTCGAATTGGACCTAACCAGCCGAGCCGAGTTTAAGTTAATTGCTGAGGAGGTTTAAGTATTCAGGATCAGTTATGCAAGAGATGTGGGGTAAAAAGTTTGGAATGACATGTGGCTAAGTAGAGAAAAATGCGGCTGGAAAATAGGCACAAAGGGTAGTGATGACAGAATAGTGATGAATGATATAAAAAGATAATGGTAAACGTATAAATAAAGATAATATAGGGATTTGTGGAGAGAGAAGATTTGGCTGGTCGACTCCGTTTGCATGGGATAGGATGCAGTCTGTGTTCAGTTAAATGAAAAATTAACATAATAAAAAGGGTTTTTACTTAAAGCGATGGGTGTAGGCCGATATGTCTAAGAATAAAATCCCTAGAAAGCAGGCACACTCGGTGACTTGAACGACTCTCTCGGTTAGCCCTGACGGGAGACTTGAATACATGTTAAGAGGGCGCTGGCCATTTTATTATCGGTTTACAAAAATGGGTTAGAACAATGTGATTTTTTCTCTTATAAGCGCAAAATGTCTTCCAAGTATGATAATTTTTTAAAACTAAAGAAAGTCGTGGACCCTAAGGGAGAGGGAATGGTTTGAAAAAATGGTTAACCACTCCAGGTTGTTTTTTTGAAAACCCATTTTAAGCAAGTGCAATGTTCTAATTAATATTGTCCAATAGAAAAAAAATTTCGTTAATCATTTTTTTTCTTTAAATTAAAAAATGAAAATTACCTTAACCAAAATACAACTTGGTAAAATTTTAAAATTGATAAACACTTTAAAACTATTAAAATAAAAATGATGAAAAAAAAATGGCTTGAGAAAAATTACATAATACACTTAATTGTGTTGTGGGTTTTCAAAAATGCATTCAAATTTTGGCTACCTAAATTAAAATATTAAGCTAAAAAAAAAAAACCCAAAAAACTCGAAATTATATTTTTTTATAATATCCAAAACGGATTTTGATCTTAAACCTCAAAACAAGAATATATCAATTTTAGAGCCTCGAGTTTGTTAAACAAATATTCATAAAATCCGTCAGTAATTATATATGTTTATGGTTTTTTAATTATTGCCAAGGCTTCAACAATGGAGTCATTAGCCTGAACTACGGTTATTTCATTGTTCAAACACAATGTGGGTATTGTAAACAAATATGGTCGATAGGGCAAAACGTGTAAATATTATTAGTGTTTGCTTTTTTAGGGCGTCGAATTATGAAGTATTATTATGTAGTATTATGAAGATTATTAGTTGTTTTTTTTTTAACTTTAACACCTGATTTTGGGGCAAAATTCTGATTGAAATTAAAAAAACTCGTACATCAATATTTAACTTAAAATATATTATTAATCACAATCAAACATTTTCATGACTGGTGTAAATCTATGTATTGATGTTCAATATTTGTGTTGTCAGACAAATACATTGTACACAACGTCGAGATTCAACACATGACTGCAATTGATGATGTGGTGTAATAACATCCAGACGGTCGTTAAATATATTTAAACGAGTATAAGTAATTAGGGTAATCGTTCAGTCATATTCATAATTATTTATTTATTTTTTGTCGATGTTCAAAAGTTAGCGCATTTTGTAATTTTTTTAAACAACATTTCTCAGCAGAGTTATATAAGTTGTGAATTGCTGTATAAATGACCGGTTGATTTATTGTGGTTTTTTTTTTTTTTTTAACAGTCAATGACGTGAAGCTTCGATGGAAACGTTTGCGCGACAATTTCCGAGTGTCCATCAAACGGACCATAGGACTGAATCTCAAACCGGGTCTGCCGTTTGTCGAGAGCAAACCGTGGAAATATCAAAAAGAAATGGAATTTCTACTGCCCTTCATGCAAATCGGAGGGTGAGTTTGTTGACGTGTAACACTTTAAGCACTCGGGACTCAAGCGGTTGTCTTGAAAAAACATAGTGAGGCCCGAGGAAGAGAGTAAAACATAATACTATGTATTAGTAAAAAAACGCAAAGTCATGATTTACACCAGTCATGAAAATGTTTGATTGTGATTAATAATATATTTCAAGTTAAATATTGATGTACGAGTTTTTTTTAATTTCAATCAGAATTTTGCCCCAAAATCGGGTGTTAAAGTTAAAAAAAAAAAAAACGACCAATAATCTTCATGATACTACCGATTGTTTGTTACGGTAGTTAATCGACAACCGTCGATGTTAGCGTTAACGATAACCGACAACGTAGTTTTGTAGAAAAACTTACTTGATCTTTTACTAAACTCGAGACGTTTTTTATTATTATCGTTTTTTTTTTTTTTTAATCTAATCATTTGCAAAAGTACTAATCCCCGGGTACGTTCCGTGTCGACAGGTGTTCGCTGAAGAAAATGCTGAACCTGGAGAACCCTCGAGAAGACTACCACCAGGGAAACTACGACGATTGCAGGACGGAAGGATCGTCCAGCCCGTCGTACGACACGTCGTACGAGCACGACGAGATGCCCGAACCGCGGGTCGAAGTCAATGAGATGCCGGGCGATTATTCCAACGACGAAGCCGGCGTGGACGACGAACTGCTCTACCCGGACGTGGAGATCCTGAGCAACGGCCAACACGAGCCGCTGCACAGAGTGGCCAAACGGGTGAAACGGTCGGCCGAAGCAGCCGCAGCCGCCGAGGAAGCCGACTCGTCTGCCCAGCGCATGCCCGACCAGCGCCACACGGACCGCTATTGCCGTGTCCAGCATCAGCGACAGAGCCGCGCCAAAATACACCCGGTCGACCTGTTCTTCTACAGCATGGCCGAGACGACCAAAGCCCTACCTCGAGCGTACCAGGCCGAAATCAAACGCAGGGTACTGGAAATCGTCATCAAGGCCGAAGAGGAAATGAACAAAAACGTTAAGAAGTACGATTGACGGACAGCTAATCGTTCTCAATTTTGTATCGAAATCTTATTGCCGTGTTCAAACGATAATGTTAGGTATTTTATTTAATACAAACACATAGATAAGTTAGGTCTTTACTACTTGTTTCGCTATGACGTCGTGAATAATTTATTTCTTAAAAGAAAAAAAACTACACTAGGTGTTATGTTAAATCACTTAAGTTATTCTATTCGTTATATTTTTGACTCATTAAGTTTAAATGTTTAAGCGAGTACCAATAGTCAGGAAAAAGAGAGGATACTTTTACTATTTTTTTGTTGTAAAATAAAAACATTCCGAATTTGTTCGCCTTCGTGTACAGGCTTTGTGATAAACGTCTTAATACTTACGGTACCTATGACTAAGAGTTTTGCATTCCATTGTGTGTATAATACATACAATTTATATATTAGATGTTGAGAGAACAATTAGCGCAAATACTTTATAGACGTTTTGGCAAAACGTTAACGATGGCTCTACAAATTGCTCAATCGAACGTAGATTATTATTTTTTGTATTTTGTTACTACATTATGACTATTACTATTATTTTTCTCTAATATTATAATATAATATACTTTATTATTATTATTATTATCACAATATTATGTTATTCACACTTTATGTGTATGACTACGATATGTATATTGAATACTACTATGAAACAATATATTTTACCATGACAAATGTTGTTACGATCGACAAAATTTTGTAAATAAAATACTATATGATATTTTGTATAAGGTGTTTTATTATTATAAAAATAATATATATATATATATCTTATGAAAATAATGTTTATTTGTTAGCTTATAATGAATTTCCAAGATGGGTAAAGTAATAATACCTGTTTTTGAAGATACAATCCGACCAATCGATTATTTGAACAGAACAAACCGTCGATGGTATTCGACTCTAATAATTTCTCGGTATTTTTAAGTGTAAAATCATACTTTTTAAATATAAATACAAATTATTAAGACAATAAGTGTATATAGAAAAAAACAAACGAGTCACAGAAAAATGCAAAATAGTACTTTTAAAGTCAATTATTTGCAACTGTCAAATTGTTATCTGATCATAACACCACAGTTATATTTGTGCACAAGACATTGTTTGTTTATAAACTCTTTGGAAAACAATAGATATCGTTATCAACATTTTCTTAACAACCGTTATCACCAGACGGTAGACATCAGCATTGATTTTAGAATATACAGATAAGCGGTGCTTGGGACAAAACCGGTGACCGACAATTGCTGGCTGCCGCTGCAGAGCGCTGTCGGCGGCCGCTGGCAAACAGTGTGACCATTCAAGGTGATCAATTTACCGTATGACACTTTTCCGTGTCAAATTTTTGACAAATAAAGACTAAAACGCGAAGTCACTTTCTAAAGTGTCTATCGGACCGATTTCGAACGTTTTTTATTATTATTAAGTTCAACATGTTTTCTATGGGGGCTAAAAAGTTGATTTTTTATTTTTGTTTTCAAAAAAATGTATAAGCATTTAGATTTTTACAATTGTATAGTTTTTTCTAATAAATCCAACTAATTTTCTAATTGCTAAATCAAATATCGGTCTTTTAACCCCTATAGAAAAAATAGTAAGCTTCACATAAAAAAAAGAAAAATTGCAATCCGTCCAAAAGATACGCTAAAAAAAGACTTCTGCGAATGTCATTTTTTATCAAACTTTCACCATAACTCGTAAAAAAATTACTAAAAGTATTAAAACTAGAAAACCTTAATCATTTTTCATCTTATAATAAGTCGGCATATTAAAAATTGCTACTAGATAAATTTTTGTCAAATACTGCCTATCCTTTGCCCCGTTAATAAATAAGCGCCTTCCGTTCCCCTTAAAAATTGCTACTTTGTAGTTCGTTCGAGATTTCCCAATGTACAAAATTAAATGTGCAAACTCGATTTCATGTGATCTGTCGGACGGGGTTACTTGTGGTGTGATATTAATTTCGTATTCTGATAGCTATTTTGAGTGTCATTTTAATTTTGTGTATAATAAATTACATTTTATTTTAAAATGCCGGGTACTAACTGCCAATATTTTAACTGTTTCAAATCGACAAGAAAATTTCCAAATTTATCAATGTTCCGAATTCCAAAAGATGAAAGACATGAAACATGGATAATTAATTCGGGTGAGAAATACATTTTTTCTTCGATATTTACAATAACTTATATTTAATAAGTGTTGTAATAATAATATACTCTATAGGAAATGTAAACTTATTGTCTCTCGATAAGGCGAAGCTCTATAACCGCTACATATGTCAGGAACATTTTTCTGCAGATTCATTTATGAATAGTACAGATAAAAAATTAAAATTAAAACCAACCGCGATTCCATACAAGTATAATTCTGACGGACTACCATCTACATCAACTGGTAAGACATATACGAGTATTATATTATTAGTTAAATTGACTGGATTTCTTATATTGAGCAAGGTAAAAGTTTGGCGTAATAGCCTAATGCAGTTCACTGGTAGCCTACGGTATGCATTTCAATCCCCTGTCGTATGAATTCAAACTTTTTGCACTTTTTTCCACCGGTTATTTACAAATTTTATTTAGACTAAACAATTAATTTTGATCAAATTAAAACTAAAATCGTATAAATATTTTTATAATTTTGGTTTTAAGAGATATTTTTACAGTCTGGGGGGGGGGGGGGTTAGTTTAATTAAAATTTCTTTAACCCCATTTCAAGTTTTTTATTTTTGCATAATTTACTAAACATTTTGACTGATTGATTACAATTTTAGCACAATTATTTGAAAGTGTAAAGTTTTGAGACGGTGTGAGGGTGGCTTAATGAAATTATATAAAAAAATTGTATACATTTTGTATTTCTTAGTACTCCTGAGAATATAAATACTGAATTCTTACTTAAATTATAAGTTATAATTAACTATTCAAAATTGGAGAATCAGCTGCTGTATTTAATTAAATGTTTTATCGTATAGGAAGTACTTTTTCAACTCCTATTCGAACTGGAAAGCCAAAAAACTATGGAAGGTCGAAAACTAGTGCATGTGTCGAGCTGGTCTTTCCTAGTCCTTCAAAAGATATTTTAACTACGCCTCCAAACAATATATCGGATGTAATTGATATGCCCACTCCTACGAAAAAGAGAAAACAAAATGATAATGAAATAGATACCCCTAGAAAAAAATAAATTAAAAAATGTTATTATAAATAAACAACATCAAATTCATAATAAAATTTCGCATATTTCTAAATTGAAAAAAAAAGTAACAAGTTTAAAAAATAGCAATAATTTACGTAATTTAATTTACTCTCACAAATTTCCCTCCAATAACTCCAGAGCAATGGTGACAATGCAACTTCGAAACAAACGCCGACCGTGGACAATAGAAGAAAAAAATTTAGCACTTACAATGTTTTATCATAAAATTTGAAATGTTAGGTACACATTTTTCTGAATAAGTAATTATAATTAAAAAAAAAAATGTTCAACCTATGCAACCCTTACAAAAAAAGTTAATATTTAAGTAGGTACTGACGACTGACCAATACATTATAATTAATTGATTATAAAATAGGTTGCTATATATTTTTTTTAAAAAATATTTTCAATTCTTAAGTCATCTTAAAGTACAAAAAGGGAACGGTAATCATGCCGCTAGAGTAAAATAAATTAAATGATTTACTATTGTTTATGGGTTCTCTTTAGATGTCTTTCAAATAATAAAACATTAATACAAAATTAGTACGATGCACAGATCATTGTCATAGGATGACTATAAGTACTATATATTTTTTTAAAATTCCATATTGTGTGGTTTGATTTGAACTGTACTTGGTAAGCAAATAAAATATTTCACAATTTCGAGTAGGTATCTAAAACAAAACATAACAAACAAATTGCTTGAGTACCCATTTTATGGTTTAACACCCAACTGTGTTAAATCTTGTTGTTTAAATCTTACCTGAAATCGGTCAACGACTAATAAAGTAAATTAAGAGTACCACGGCGTTAAAAGTAGAAACAGTTTTCAAATAAAAGTTTAAATAAAATCAAGAAATCGATTTCAGTAATGTGGAATGACATTTTGATTACAGTTTAATCTAAAAATTATTTAAATCGACTTGCCAACAAAAACACGTTTTAAATACTTGTAAATCATAATTGTTAAAAGTTAAAACTATAACTACATAGAAAATAGGTATAGACTACATTAGGTGTACACCAGTCGCTAAAGTAAGCAGATATTATTGAGTATTTTAACTTTTAAGGTTAACCGTTAACGACAATGCAAGTATTATCATAATATTGTGTAAAGCGAATAAAATAGTAGAATGTTTACTATATAATCAGTAAGCATTGTAAAATGTGAAATAAGAAAATGGTACAGCTACATTTGAAAAACGGCATAAACTGTTTATTAGAAATAAGAAAAATATGATTTCATGTGATGTTTGTTTTCTAACACGGAAGTGTATTCAAAACACATAAGTTGTTTTATTTATTTGTCTTAGTGTCCGACTCCCTGTAGTTGAAAGCGTAAAGAAGAAGATAAAGAAAAATAAGAATAAGATTTATTTCTTTTGTACTTTTAAAGCAGTTTATTGAAATAAGAAAAATATGGTTTTCATTTGATTTTGTTTTCTAACACGGAAAATTATTCAAAACACATAAGCTGTATTATGTATTCGTCTTGTGCTGTTTTCTTATAGCTCTTTTTTACTGTAAGATAGCTTATGATTGTTTTACACCTGTTGTACACATATTAAACTGAACTAAAAACTTAAAACTTGGTGCAAAAAGAGTGTTTGTGAAAAACAGTAAGAAAATTTGTTATTTCTTAGCAGGTCTCTACCACACACCACGTACACACATTGAGTTACAATGTTTTCAAAAAACATTACACTACTTTTGTGTGCCGTGGTTTTTATAGCGGACGACGCTTCTATGGATAATACTTCAGTGGTGGTATGTACCTTAAATTCAGAAACATTTTAAAGCTTATAATAAACATAGCCAAAATAATATAAAAACCTATTGCAATAAAGTATAAACATATATTCGTTAGAGAAAGTTAAGATTAATGCAAGGATAACATTGTAAGCAGAGTGGTGCAAATTCTTATTCGATTAATTAAATTAGAAATTATTCTTACAATTGTTATTGAAGTTTTTCAAATAACTTTTATATGAATAATTTGTTATCTAGTTGATTATGAACGTTTTTTTCGAACGACGCACAACTCTGATTGTAAGTTAGGTATACAACATTTTATTATTATTTATTTTTTTTTTCTATTGATGTTTTTGAAAAATCGACACCATGGGTCTTTAGTTACACATTAATTACATTTTTTTAAATTTTATCATTTTTTGTACAGGTCGGTTGTTTTAAAGAATTTTATCATTTTAAAGTATCTTTTCCTCAGGTCCCAATGACTCGTCCAGTTGTTTAATTATTTTGAGATGTTGTTTATGTATTTAATATTTTGCGTCAGTCAGTGATAATGTGTTTGACGGTAACTTTGGTACCGCATGTTTCACATATTGGAGCTTCCTCTTTTCCCATGAGGTATCCCATGCGTTAGAGCCGTGTGTCCGATTCTCAACCATTTTATTTTATTTTCACCGATAATAACGAATAGTTAGCAGCATAAGTGTTTTTCG